AATATGGAAGACAGCTATGATAGCTATTTTAAGACAGCTAGAACTCATATTTCTTTCAAATGATTTAAAAAGTCAAAACAGTAAACCAGTTATTCCACAATGGAGGTCACAGACTTGAAGCCTGCAGCTCTTATACGACCGCAGCAGGTGTAGCCTTCAGACAGTTTGTTTGTTCTGCAAGAGTTGGGCCAGAGGTTTGTTTTCGTCTGTATTTCTAAACGTAATTGTTTACCAACATTCAAACAATTTTTCAATGAATCTAAACATTTTGATTTTTACCTTCTCTTGGGAAATGGGACGTGCTTGGGTCCATATTCCTGTGCAGCAAAGGCTGCTGGGAGGTGTGTGCTGCTGCAGGTGCTGAATGTGCTTGCGAGTCCCAGTGGGGGCAGCTCTCCCACTGCTCCCTTTGTCCCCATGTCAAACAGCAGGTACCATTGATCATCACTCACATTTTTGTGTTTCTTATTGTATAGCTGAAGATGGCAGAATATCTAGTATCCATTTTTGAATCAACAGTGGGAAAATGCAAGATTAATCAGTAGGAACATGTGTTTTAATAAAACCAGGAGGCAGATTTTTTTTTGTAGAGATGAAAAATATTTCTATTAGGAAACGCACAAGCTAAGGACGTTTGTTGTAATAATATGACCTGAGTGACCATTCTTAAATATACATGGCCCACTTCCCACACTCATGGTTCCTGCTGGTCTAGCAGGCATGAATTTCCCACTCCTTTCTTAACAAATAACAGGTGGATGTCATGACATTCATATTTTTTCTCTACTTTCTTAGTTAGATTTTATCTCCACAACCATGCAGCATTGTTTACATGCATGGTTTTTGGCCATCTGTACATTCTAATTTCTAGTTAAGAAAAGAGTCCAGGTGTGGTGGCTCATGCCTGTAATCCAAGCACTTTGGGAGGCCGAGGTAGGCAGATCACCTGAGGTCAGAAGTTTAAGACCAGCCTGGCCAACATGACGAAAACCCATGTCTGCTAAATTAGTTGGGCAAAAATTAGTTGGGCATGGTGGCACACGCCTGTAGTCCCAGCTACTCAGGGGGCTGAGGCAGGAGAATCACTTGGACTCGGGAGGTGGAGGTTGCAGTGAGCTGAGATCGTGCCACTGCACTCCAGCCTGGGAGACAGAGTGAGATTTTGTCTCATAAATAAATAAATAAAAGAAGTTATTGGTGACTCAATTTAGATATTGCTCTTTTTCATATTCGACATCTGAATAGGCTGAATATATTACATCTAAGTACTGAGGGTTGGATTCTTTTGGCCTAAATGCTACTTATTTCTGACAGAATCAAGACCAATATAACCTAAAAGACTAAACAAATCTGCCCAGATAGAAGGAGGGGGAAGACATTTTATGACAGATAACATCTCATGATGATGGACTTGCCAATTGTATTAAATAATTGACAATACTTAACATCTAACACAGAATATTGAGTGCTAATTAATTCTGATGTAGTTGATTAGTTTCAACAGTTTACCATTAAAGAGGGCACGTTCAGATATTCCATAGGGACCTATATTTTCTTCAATGGTTTAGAAACTCTCCACTGGTGTCTTTCTGGATTTGATAACAACAGGGTCTCTCTGTTGTTTGTTATCTTCCAGGTTAGCATTTCAAATCACGTTGGAGGAAACTGGAAGTTCAGAAGTGTCATATAGATCTACCACCTTTCCATTGATTTTTGGGGAATTTATATTCCAAAAGCCACTTATAGCTTACTTAAAGTGGATCCCAAGACAGAGCTTTTCCGTTTAGTTTCAGAGAGATATAATAATACTCTAATACTCTGCAGACTGCTTGAACAGACCAGAGTTGTAAACAAATTCAGATATCTCTACTACCAAACCTCCCTACGCTGTGAGACTATGAAATAATATGCAAGTAGAATTTATTAAGGGACGCATAGCCAGTTGCCTTCTATCTTCACTTAGTGTTGAATGAAACAGCGCACTGACTCCACATTAAATAGGGGTGTTTACTAAAACACTGAAATAAATCTAGGAAGGATGTGGAGTCTCTGCCTGTGAAAACATTTCAGGGTAAATATTACATATTATACCCAGGGTATGTGACAGATTATTGATTTCTGGCTATTTTGTTATGAAAAAGAAAGCTTGCTAAAGTGCACAGAAATTAAATGAAAATGCTAAATTGTCATTCCTCTATGAAAGTTAGGCAAATCTCCAGGCATGGTGGCTCACGTCTGTAATCCCAGCACTTTGGGATGCCAAGGTGGAAATTCGAGACCATCCTGGCCAACATGGCAAAACCCTGTATCTACTAAAAATACAAAAAATAGCGGGACATGGTGACGGAATTACAAATCCCAGCTACTTGGGAGACTGAGGCAAGAGAATTGCTTGAACTCAGGAGGCAGAGGTTGCAGTGAGCCAAGATCGCCTCATTGCACTCCAGCCTAGGCGACAAGAGTGAAACTCCATTACAAAAA